TAAAGCAAGTGGGCCAGGAATCTTTGAAAGACTACATCTCCAGTGGTATCCAATCTACAGTGGCTTTGGAAGTTCCAGCGCATCCAAATAGGTATTGAACTATAGGCGGGGCACTGTGGCGAAGAAGGCAGGGAAAGTAACACACAGTCTTTGTCCTCAATCAACCTTAGTGCAATAGAGGGGGGCTGGACCCAAATCCCAGGGAACAGGGAAGACCTTAGGAGGGAGGTGGCATGAGAGCTGGGGACTGGCTGGTAGAAAGCATTCTGCCAAGCTGAGAAACAAAGTCTTGAAGGGAAGTGAGAGGCAGAAAGACCTGCATGGGTAAAGGCACTACGGTGGGAACATGGAACAGACATTATTACAGTGTAACTGGAGCCATTAGGGCAGCAGTGAGAAAAAAAAGTTAAGTGAGGGTCAGACTAGAACAACTGTAAAACCAGGTTAACAAATTAGGATGGGCAGGATTCCCTTTAAAAAAAAATATGTAAGTGCTGGGTGTTTTGAAGTTAGTAACACATTATATGTAGAGTGCCTACTCTGTGGAACCTACACGTGCCCAATGCTGACAAAACCTTAGAGGGTAAGTGGCACACTCACATTCCAGATGAGGAAAGAGAACTTCAGAGCGGTCACAGCTTCATGTGTCACAGAGCGGACACATGGCTATTAAGTGGCAGGGTTGTATTCAGATCCTGACTCCACAGTTTACGCTCCTTCCTTGCAGCCTTTCTCATCTGGGGTTTCTCCTCTGAACCACAACTGGGAAATTATTTGAGTAATGATTTTTTCAATTCTCTTAGGAATAGCACATAACTTGTACCACTTCAGATAGGAGAGAAATTAATAACCCTGAGTGTAACAGATGCCTGAGAGCATTAGAGTTTAATTTTCCAGAGGAACCCTGGATGAGAAAGGCTGCATGGTAAGAGATACATTTTAGGAAAATGGATCTGTGAAAGTGGGATCACATTCCTGGGAGGAAAAAGCTGTAAAAGCACCTTAACGGCCTTGGAACCACAGGGATGAGTCAGCTCCAGGGGCTTGAGGAAGGAGGCTCCCGACCTTCTCAAATTACTCGTCTTTTCAGCAATCCTGCCTTTCCTTCCTTCCTCTAACCTTTTCCTGTATGCAGCAGTCAAGTGCTGAAGCAGGCCTTTCTGCTCATAAGACAGCGACCCAGGAAGCAGCAGTATTTTTCGAGAGGAAAACCACAGAAGCCAGTGGATCCACTTTTCTGTGGAGGCTGGGAGTAGAAAGCTGGCACTGGACTCAGAACTCTTGCACACAAATCTGTCTGGCAAACTCTCACTGCCCTCCCCGACAAGGCTGAAGCAAGCCATCCTCTGGGAAGCCTTCTGTAACTGACCCTACTACCTCCCTGCTCACCAAGCAGAAGCAGGTATTTCCTCCTTGGTCTCCCCAGAGCCCTTTGTCCAGAACCGTGCTGGGGCACTCGCCTGCTGTCACTTCCTGTTTCCATATCTGTCTCCTCCACCAGTCTGCGCCTCTCTCAGGACAGTTTGCCAGATCCAACTTAGCATGCCCTGAGGTCAAAGATGACAACTGGCTTACCCAGAGTCACACTACAGAGCTGAGATTTAAACCCAAGTCTGTCTGATCCCCAATTTTGTGTTCTTCTCACTATGTTATGGGGCCTCCTGAAGATGAAGTGGCCTTTCTGTGCTAAGCACCCATCCCAACAGTGAAGTGTTCAGAGGTGGCACTGTCAGAGCAGACCAGACCACCTGGAGAGGCTTCCTTAGAGGATCTAGCTAAGAAGAGAGGGAACATGATGGTGTTTTGGGCAGGGTGGAGAAGCTGCAGGCAGAAACAGAATTAAGAAGTCATTAGATAGGAGTACAGATTTCATGGGGAAGGAATGGGATTATAGCTGCCAGGGTGAGCATTTGATTTCTTTACATAATCATGGATAACCTATCTGTACTTGGGACCTTTACAGATGTCATCATTAATCCTTATGCCCACTAATCCCTGTGATACTTCCCAGATGTTATTTATTTATTTGGCTGCGGTGGGTCTTCATTGCTGCATGCAGGCTTTCTCTAAGTGTGGTGGGCGGGGGTTTCTCACTGCAATGGCTTCTCTCATAGAGCATGGGCTCCAGGTGTGTGGGCTTCAGTAGTTGCAGTTCAGGGGCTCTAGAGTGCTGGTTAAGCAGTTGTGGTGCATGGGCTTAGTTGCTCCACAGTACATGGGATCTTCCTGATTCAGGGATCAAACCCATGTCCCCTGCATTGCAAGGCAGATTCTTAACCACTGGACCACCAAGGAAGCCTCTCCCAGCTGTTATTTTACAGACAAGAAAACTGAGGCTTAGAGAGATAAGGTAATATGTCCAAGCCAACAGAGCTAGTAGGTAGGGGAGCTGGGATTCAAATCCAGGCTAGCCTGACTCTAAAGCCCTTTTTATTACTCCATGCTGCCTCTTAAGGGGTCAGAAAACCTCCCACATTACCAGACTGCTGCTGCAGCCTGGACCTCCCCCAGCTCTCATGTGGGGACGCTAATCAGAGGGCAAGTGCAGCTGCCCCCTCTAGCTCCAACCCTCTAAGATCTGGGGGCCCTAAATCCTTGTGGACTAAGCAATTTTAAGGACAAGAGTTGTGTGTGGCTCCCAGGAGCACAGGCTGGCCCCCTGTCTAGGCCTGCTTTGGGTCTCACAGAGAAAGTCTCTGAGGTGCTGCAGCAAAGCCAGTGGCAAATATAGGCTGAAAAAGCTGGACGGTCAGGAAGTCAGGGCCTGCCCTCCCTGAAACCTTCTGGAGGTCAGCTGAGGTCAGAAACTTTGGAAATGTTACTGGCAAGAGCCCCTAGGACAAGGGAACAGGATCCTGCCTCTCGGTTGGCTGGTCACACACACAAGCAGACCAAGAGAGGTCAAGGGGGGAGGGGGGTCAGAAGTTGGCAAGCCTGCAGGCCCTGAGGGACGGCCACTTGTTCAGGTTGGAAAGGGAGAAATCAGTGGGTTAACAATTTTGGCCCTTGAGGCTGGGAGGCTAGGGCAGGGGGTGTAAATGGATTCTGGGTAAAAAGGCAGGTGGGTGAAGTGTAAAGGTGGGGGCTAAGGGCATATGTTCCAAGTCAACAAGCAGGAATCATGCCCCTGGAACGGCTCAAATGGCCAGCCTTGGCCTGGAGGGTAAGGGTGGGGGTGTTTCATAAAAGGCCCATGCGTCTTCATTTTAAAGGTGTTCGATCTGCAAGGCTGGGGAGAGGGACTCTTTGTAGAATGAGTTCCTTGTCCATTTAGGGGCTGATGGGAAGTGGGGAATGTAAACCACTGGACAATAGCTGGGGGTATTGATTGATTTAAGGCACAGCAGAGAGAAGCCCCATAGTGAACGCTCTAATTCTTAGCTACAAATGTCTCTCATTGGAGAGCTTTCCAAAGGACAAAGTGAGTAGCATGTTGCTTGGGGATGTTAGCATGTTGCTTGGGGATGTTTTCTAAGTCTCTGCTCCTGTAAACAGTGAGTTCTTGCTCCAAAAGCACGAGTCATCCTAGATGCTGTCACCATATCCGTGAGCAGTGCTGCCCCTTGCAGTGTTCATTCCCAGACCAAGGCGCACACTGGCTGCGCTGGGGCAGGTCCCTTGTAGGCTGGGGCTATGGGCCAGGTCTGGGTCTTAAGTCAGTGTGACTGTGGCGGATGGAAGGTGGTAGGACTTGAGGGTTAGGGGGAAACCCTTCCAGTCCAATCACAAACACTAGAAGATGATATGGGGACACTGGGCTAGGGAGGCAAAGATTCTGGGGCTGAAAGTACTTCCTTTGAAGACAGGGTTTTGAAACAGTGACTACAGAGGACAGCTGGCAGAAGATACAGAGAAGAAAATCACACCTACTTAAAAGAATCTACTTAAACCAGTCACAGCAGAATTAAAATGGAATGGGCTCCCAGGGAAGAAGGAGGGTTCCCTTAGTCTCTGAGAGAATCCAAAGAAAGACCAGCCAGCTAACTGCTGGAGAGGTTTTTGCCAGGGGGAGAGAGGGCGGGCAATCAGGTAAAGTGGAGGACCTCTGAGGATCCTTCCAGCTCCCAGGTTCTATGAAGAATGACCACTGACAAGGAATGCCTTGGTGTCCAGGCCCAAGAGAGGGTCCCTAAATCTCCAAGAAGTGCAGTGAGGGCATAAACAGGAAGTCAGTGCCATACCAATTCAGGGGCCTGGGCACCATGCATCCTGGCAGGATGCTTTCCTCGCTCTCCCAGGGAGAGGCTGGAGTGAGATGAGGGCAAGTGACTACCTGGGAGGCCTCTGGCAGGTATCAGATCTGGATAGGACCAGACCAGCCTGAGTATGGGGATGGTATGTATTATAACTCCAATACATCAGTGCTCTCCAAAAGCAGGGTAGTCAAACATTTGACAAAGACTTATTGAGTGTTTACTGTGTGTCAGGTACTATGTCAGGTGCTAGAATGAATCAGCCATAGTTCTTGCCCTCAGGGAGCTCAGAGTCAAGTTAGGGAGAAGGTTAATGAGCACACACAAAAAATTCAAGATTGCAACAAGTGCAACCATGGAAAAAGAATAGGGTGCAATGAACCAGAGTAATGGAAGAGGCCTGATTTAGACTAGGGTGGGGGTGGGATCAAGGTGGATATCTTTTGAGTCTGGGGTTAGTAGAGATTTGAAGGCTCTCCCCCCTTAGTTCACCAGTCCTGCTCTGGAGGTCACAGGGTAGGAGAGGATACTTTTGGGGGACAAAACAAACAAAACTCAGAGCATGAACGTTTAGGCAGGATGGCATGGTACACCACACAACCATAGGCAAACAACACACTCCAGCCACATGAGGGCAAATCCCGCATGCACATGGCCACTATCACAGAGTATAGGCACCTTTGAGGCTTTCCAGCTCTGGGAGGGCAACAAGGCTTTGGGGAAGCTCAGCATTTCTGGAGGAGAGAGGCAGCTAAGTCCACACTTCCTGCTGACCAAGCCCTCTGCCCCACTCACCCATGCTCTCACCTCCATCAAGCAGCTCCTTGACGGTCCGGTAGTCATCAGCGAGGACAGCATAGTGCAGGGCTGTGCAACCCTTGAAGCTGGCGCGGTTGTTCAGCCGGTTGTTGAAGTCATCCTCTCGGGTGACCAGGACTAGGGGGACAGCAACACAAACCCTTTCATCAGCAACAAATGTCAAGAGCCACCAATCTCACTTTCTTCGTCTTGGCATTTTTATTATCTCATTTACTCATCTACTTCCTTACTAAACAAATAATGGCACCTACTATGTGCCTGGCCATCTGTGCTGGGAAAGAGGAAGTAAAACAGAGCCCGGTTAATTCCACAAAGGTTTACTGACATCTATTATGTGATAGGATTCGTTTGGGGACATAGAAATGAATCAGTTATGGTCCCTGACCTAACCTGACAAAGGAGGCAGACAATAAACTGATGTTTACAGTATTGCCTGAGATAAATGCTATTATATAACAGGATGATATAAAAAGCCAGAAGGGAGCTTAGCTCAATTTGGGCATGAAGAAAGGATCTCAAAAGATGAGTCTTGAAGGGTGAAGAAAAGCAGGCAACGGCAAGACAGAGGACAAATCAGGAGGCAGACAGAGGCTGTTCTTAGCAGAACAGTAACATACCTCCTCTGTGCTCTGAAGATGTTTACAATCTAATATTTAATATTTTGTAAAGGATTTTTAAATTTATAAAAGCCATTAAGAATTTGAAACTACAGGAAAATACAAAGGAGAAAAAGCATGATTATCTCAGCAACTTGAGAAATGGCATTTAATATTCTGGTATATGTCTTCTGATATCTATACTGATATCGATGTGGACATTGGTAGGTAGAAGATACCTGCATATATATCCTACATGTATATCCTACAAATTTGGAATTTACTATATTGCAATTTTGTAATCTGATTTTTTTCCCTTAATAAATGTACTGTGAGCATTTTTTGAAGGCAGAAGGAACAAGTATTGCATGTGCCAAAGAACCAAAACCCCTAGGCTCACTCAAGTGCTATTATTAGTGATTCTCTCTCTAAATTGATACCAAAGAACCTAAAATCAGTTGCATCACTTTACAGGACCCTCTGGGTTAGTGATCACACATGTCCCTGTTCATCGGGGTAGTCATGACTTATGCTTGTTGTCCTCAACAGTCCCAGTATGGACAGTATTTGGAAGGCTATCTAAACTCTGGGGCCTTTCCTTGGGAACTAAGACCCTACAGAACAATACCTATCCTGCGAAGGTGATGGGGTCTCTTTCTGCCTCATGTAGAAATTATCAGAGTACTTGCCTTATGTTCCCTCCTGAGCTTGGTTCACTGGAGGTGGAATTTGGGTCCTACCTACTTGTACCTGCTCCTCCCTGAATCCACGGCACAGGGCCTGCAGAGGGCAGGCTCCTCCTACCTCCTACTGGATAAAGGCATGTAATTCAGTCAAGAGAGAACCTTGCCTGTGTAGTCAAAAGCACCAGACAATTTTTTTTTTTAATTTTTATTTATTTATTTATTTTTTGACAATTTTTAAGCCATTCTTTTCCAAGATGCCTTGGAATGGAGTTTATGCATTTCCTCTTCCTACAAAACTGAACTTCCTATTGAAAAGTCACTCAAAGCCAGAAGACTGTCATGCTTCTTCCTAAACCTAACAGAGATTTCACCTAGATCACTTCATGGCAAATAGATGGGAAAAAATGGAAACACTGACAGACTGTTTTTTTGGGCTCCAAAATCACTGCAGATGGTGACCACAGCCATGAAATTAAAAGACGCTTGCTCCTTGGAAGAAAATCGATGACAAACCTAAACAGCGTATTAAAAAGCAGAGACATTACTTCACCAACAAAGCTCCATCTAGTTAAAGCTATGATTTTTCCAGTAGTCATGTGTGGATATGAGAGTTGGACCATAAAGAAGGCTGAGTGCTGAAGAACTGATGCTTTTGAACCGTGGTGTTAGAGAAGACTCCTGAGACTCTTTTGGACTGCAAAGAGATCAAACCAGTCAATCCTAAAGGAAATCAATCCTGAATATTCATTGGAAGGACTGATGCTGAAGCTCCAATACTTTGGCCACCTGAGGCAAAGAGCCGACTCATTAGAAAAGACTCTGATGCTGGGAAAAATCGAAGGCAGCAGGAGATGGGGATGACAGAGGATGAGATGGTTGGATGGCATCACCAATTCAATGGACAGGAGTTTGAGCAAGCTCCAGGAGATGGTGAAGGACAGAGAAACCTGGCATGCTGCAGTCCATGGGGTCGCAAAGAGTTGGCACACAAATGAACAACTGAACAACAACTGACCTTCTCTGCTCTTTGGCTGACATACTTCACACAATCTATTTAATTCCCCTAACTACTTGTTAGTGCTTGTTGTTTAGCTGCTCAGTCATGTCTGACTCCTTATGACCCCATGGACTGTAGCCCACCAGGCTCCTCTGTCCATGGGATTCTCCAGAGAAGAATACTGGAGTGGGTTGCCATTTTCTTCTCCAGGGGATCTTCCCAACCCGGGGATCGAACCTGGGTCTCCTGCATCGCAGGTAGATTCTTTACTGACTGAGCCACCAGAGAAGCAGGCATTATAATTCTTGTTTTATAGATGAGAAAGCTAAAGCACAGAGGTCATACAGCTAATAAGTGGTTGCATGAGGATTAGAGCCCAGGTCTAATCTGAGTCCTCACGCTATTTCCCCATCACATCATGCTTTCACCCTCATTTTGCAAATGAAGGAATCAGAGCCCAGATGTTCTGGTCCTAGCCTTGGCTTCCACTCTTTTTTCCCTGCTCAAGTGAAGGTGCCAGCATACTCTCTATGGAACCTGCTCTAACAGAGATTGGCCTGCGGTTTGTAAATAACACCCAGATAAGATGGCTTAGGTGGTAGTATTTCAAATGTTTGGTCAAAATGAAGTTGCTGGAGTGTGTAACTGGAGAACAGATCACACTTCCTTATGGTCTGGTGAATCAGTGGTCCACCAGCTCTTCTGCACCAGTCAGAGGCTATCCCAACTGATGACCCCCACCCCTGGAGTGTTACCTGACCTTTCCTGGAGCAGGGTAAACAGGAAGAAGGCCTCTGATTAGCTAATATATATGTCCAATGTGCAATGGTATCTGCACGTTTCTCATGCAGGACCTAACTCAGAGATTAACTCAAACTTTTAGTTGAGAACAGTCTTATCAAATCATGGTAAGGGATTTTGTTTCCAGCCTACTGCAGATTAGAAGAAGCAAACTAGAAGGCTGGGAAAATAACAGTACAACAAAAACCTGAAAGAGGAAGCCACAGAATACAGTGCCTCAAGAGCCAGTAGGGCACCACTGAATTGCCACACAGGACATTAACTGCTAGATACAATGGACAAACATCAACATAGCTGCAGCGTCACAGCCCAGCTAATAAGGAATGTCCATGAAGAGAGCCCCTGCTCCCCTCTGAGGTCTCATCTCTCACCATCCCCTTTCTAATGCTCTTTCGAGCCTCTGAGTTTTTGCAAATACTATTCCACTGCCTGGAACATTTCCCTCTCTCTCATGCCTTCAGCTGACTAACTTCAATTCACTTCTAGGCCTCTGATTAAAAGTCACTTCCTCCAGTGATTCTTCCTAAGTTTGAGGTAGTTATTCCTCCCAAGAGCTTCCCTAGCACTTCAGGCATCTCCCAATTACAGTTTATATTACCCATTCCATTGCAATCATCTGATTACCTGACTATGTTACCCACTAGACCAAAAGCACAATGAGGAAAGGTAGTGTGACTGTCTTCCCCACAGTTGTACCCCCAGTGTCTGTCCATAAATATATGCTTGACAAATACTTGTTGAATCAGCAAATGCATACATAATACATAATTAAGGCCCTGCAATTACCTTGTTTTGGAATAATAACACCACCAACAGTATTTAATGGAGGAAGGAGAGTGTAGCTGTTAAATAAGTAAGGTCTGGAGCCAGATCACTGGTGTTTGGGTTCCAGTTCTCACTTTACTGACTGTGCAATCTTGGGTAACTTACTTAACCTCTCTGTGCCAAGTTTCTTTCCCTGTAAGCAGAGATGATTAACATGCTCTCTCATGGGATATCATAAGGATTAAATGAGACACTGTGAGTAAAGGGGCTTGGAACAGTACCTCTTAGCCACTGTCAGTTACTATCCTTACTGTCTACTCTTGTGCTTCCAAAAGTGTACTTACTATCTCTACAAAAAAAGGTCTGGGGATTTCTGCATACACTTTCCCCCTCCAAAAGGCATAGCTCTGAGTAAGAACCATCTATTTAATTTGGCATTGCTGTTTTGCTGCTATGTCTTTTGTGACCCCATGGATTGTAGCCCACCAGGCTCCTCTGTTCATGGGATTTCCCAGGCAAGAACATTAGAGTGGGATACCATTTCCATCTCTAGGGGATCTTCCTGACCCAGGGATCAAACCCACATCTCCTGCATTGGCAGGTAGATTCTTTACCACTGAGCCACCAGAGAAGCCCTAATTTGGTTATTACTCAGCAGTTTTATGTTTGGCAGCCTCTCCATCCAACCCCTGTTAAAATCCTGCAGCACTGGTGTTCCATGGAACACTCTGGAACTGAACAGTGCATAACAACATGTAAAGCATTCCCTTTATTTATTTACTTCAGAACGACCCTGTGAAGTGGAAGTTCACTCTCCCCATTTTACAGATGGAGAAGCTGAAATACAGCAAGTGCCACAGCCAATCAGTGGTGGAACTAGGACCTTGTCCAGGTCGGCTAGACTCATCTTGTGTTCTTAGCAGTAAGCTCTTTTCCCCTTGTCACTCAGTTTTAGAAGCCCTGTCCCAGGAGATCCCCCAGATCATTAGATCTCTATCAGGAAAAAAAAAAAAGTGTCTAAAGGTGGGAAAGAGGAGGTATGTGCAGCATACACCCTCACATTCTTACTTGCTCTCATGGAGAAAGCGGAAGCAAACCCACAGAAGCTAAAGTGACTCATCCAGGGCCAGCTCACCAGCTGGCCACCATGGTGGTCTTTTGAGGCCCAGTGTGTACAGCTGGTCCTCAGCCAGTGAACCATCCCCTTCCCAACAAAGACATCCACCAGCCCGTCTCCAGCACAGGGGGAGATGGGCTCAAGCTCCTGCTTCC